ATGTCCTCGCGTAAGGCTCTGACTTCAGCTTCCTGCGCGGATCTGCATTGCTGCAGCCTCTAGCTCTTGATTTTGTTTCCGTAATGCCACGCCACCGTGGAAGCCACTTCATCTTTGAACGCGGCGACGACGTACACTCGAACCTCGTCGTCACCACCACCGCTCTGTTCATGTCGCCTGGCAAGCTTGCGCCTTCTGTCGGCGTTAGTCGTCGAGTTCATCCTCTTCAAGACTGGCGCGGCCCGGGTGACCGTCGTCTTTTGCCATGGTGAGATGAGGTCCGGAATCGGTGACATTGTTGTCTGCGCGCGCAGAGAGCTCCACAGGGGCAGAAATTCTGACAGGGTCCTGCCCTGTCAGGTGTGCGCCAGCTTGGCATCGTACATCTGCTTCTGGTTCTTTTAGATGTCTTCAAGGGAAAGCATTGGGACGGCGTCGTGCAGTAGTTCAAGAGTTGTACATCTTGGCAGACCAGGGATGGAGCGTCGCGCGTCGTTTATCAGTGTTCTCAGTTTTACCCGCTAAGCGGCGTTGGGAGTCTATTGAAACGCACACTGTATGAAATCTTGCATACGATGGTGGCTAGGACCACGGTCCTCGCCAATCCCTCCCTGAGACCCCCAGCCAGCGTTGCAAGGCGCCGGCTATTGAAAACCCCATCTTTCAGGTGCCCCGCATCCACTCGATGCAGTCGGTCGGGTCGCCGCACGAGTGGGCTCTCATCCCCTAGAATGGAGCGCTCGGCCACCTTGTCGATCTTCTGGCCGTGGAAGCGCAGGTTCGCATCGACTTTCTGCCATTCTTTCCCAAAAGCCATCTACCTAACCTTTCCGGGCGTCGGGCGCAGGCCGGCTTACTCCAGAAAGTAACTCACTAGGTCGGGTGCGCATTGCATCGTCTTCTCGGGAGGGGGCGCGTTGTCGCTTCCCATGGTCCACACGGTGATGTCGTCTGCGTAGACCGTGAATGCCAGGGCCGGAACGACGGCGAGCAACCATAGGAGCGACGCTACCGCCAGGTTAAATAGCATTGGCGACAACACTTCCCCCTGCGGCGCACGAATCTCGTTCGTCTTCTCCGCACTGATACGGAGCCTGCCGTTCTTGACCAGATATTTTCCCCAACTCAGGAATACTTCACAAAGTTCAAAAGCCTGCGTTGAACGCCCAGCTTGCAGGCCATGTCAATGACCCTGGAGTGAGCCAAGGTGTCGAAAGCTTTTCTTACGTCCAAAGCAACCACGATTTGGTTGCGACACAGGATCGGTTGGTACGCCAAGTACTCGAGAATCAGGGCCAGGCTGTCCTGCGGGCCAAGGCTCTTGTGGCATCCCATCTGGGCGGAGTGTAACACTTCTCTCCTTTGCTGGACGATCCATTCAATGCGCGAGAGCACCATGCGCTCCATTAGCTTGCAACGGATAAAAGTGAGCAAAATGGAGCGCACGTTACTCGCGCAAACCGGGTTCTTCCCTGGCTTAGGAATGGGGCACACCCAGGACAATCTCGAACCATCAGGGTTGTTGCCCTCGTTGATCAGTTTCAGCTTCCTTCGCTTGACCGCCTCCGTGAGGTTTTTGCGCATGGAGTTAGTGATACTGTCGGGAACCGCCGCGCTCCGTTCGTTGCACCACTCAATGGCTGCTTCCATTCCCTACGGTGTGATGTCCACTTTAGACTGTATTTTTAAATTCTCGTGGTTTGTATATCTTCCAGTCCGGGCTAGTGGCCGTCTGTGGAAAGAAAGATCCCCCCGACCTCATCCAGTATTTCTTTTTACGTCCTTGCCTTGCGCCAGGGCCAAGTTCTGAGCGGTTGCCCCACGAGCTCTGGCTCAGCATCGCGTTGCAGACGATCCACGTGCGACTGAGCGACGTCCTCTCATTGAAGCTTTCGAGCAGTTTGGCGCAGTCGTCCCTGCACAGCCTGGTGGCGTGCCGCTGCCCCTCCTTCGTGAACTAGCCGGCCTTACGGATGCACCTTCGCTCGCGGGTGGGGCGGTAGCACCGCAGGTCCTCTTGCGCCGCAGGACAATAGCCTGGTGTTCGATGTGCGCACTCAGAACGCATTTCACAGGCCAGTAAGCAAAGACGGCACCCCAAAGAAGGCGATTATTGGAAAAGTCTTATTTGTGGTTTTTTCTTGTTGTTGTTCATTTTTATTTGCATCAAGTACACAGTTCACGCAGCCCCTACTAATACACAGCGAAGGGGAGTGAGGAGCGGGCGTTAGTGCACAGCTTACACCCCCTCCCCCCCCCCCCCCCCCCTCCATCCCTTTTGTTTTTATCTCCGCGCGATGCTGTGACCGGAAACTAGCCGTTGTGCTACAGTGGACTAGAAACATTAGGCAGTTTTCGTAGACCGCGTTTCCCCCTCCGCTAAGCCCTCCGCAACGAAGAAGCAGCAACTGCGCCAGCGCGCCGATGGCCTTGACTGTAGAGTTCCGAATATCTTAGCGGGTTGCGGAGAGCGTTGCGGGACGGCAAAAACCATCTACGAAAACTCCCTATTGAGTAGTGGAAAAAGGGGTGGCGTCCGCGTGTGGCACACCGTGTTGAGCCTACCAGGTGGCGCTAGCGCTCTTTTTTCAGTAAAGCCCCTTCATGATTTAAAAGTAGCGCAAGGTGCGTCGATGCACGAGACACGTGCTACGAGCAACCCTTAGGAAGATCTTGGCGGCACAGCGCAGCACTGAGCTAGATTTCAGACGCCATGTTCTTCCCAGAAGTGGCGCGCGGCACGTGTCTGGAGCATTTCCACAACAATGGATGGCACCCCTTTTCCCAGGATAGAGGGGCTCTATTTTTCCGAACACTGCCACGCCTCGCTCGCATACGACAACCACAAGCCGCGAGCCTGAATCAAAACGTTCTACTTTTTATTATTATTATTATTATTATTATTACTATGTTAGTGGCACAAGCAGCACGAGCCAGCGCCTCGCGTGGCTTTCAACATCATAGATTTCAGTCGGCCGATGAGGCACTGCCACTGCTTTTTCCACTACTTCTACCTCCCTGAAACTGTGCTCCGTTGTTAACCATTCCTGCCCCGACCTTGCTACGGTCTGATCAACACGAGTAAGCAAGGTCCGTGCAGTTTTCCCAATTAAAGCTATCGAAATTGTCCGGGCGATCACGCGACGTAATGCGAATGGACAGCTTTAGGCGTTGAGACATTTGGATAATATACAGAGAGCAAATCGTCTCCTTCTTGCGCAGGGGCTGCGGTGACATCAGAATGACGCCGAGCTCTGATCGGCTTTGGTTGGAAGGATAGCGGGTAGACCTCAACGCAAAATGCCTTGAGGTCTACCCACTACCTATTTTTCACAATCACCCAATAAGAGCTTGGCATTCTGACATCATCGCAACCCCTGTGCAAGAAGCAGACGAACTTGCGCTCCGCATTTCGTTTTGATTAAGTAAAAATGTCGGTGCTGCCACGTTTGTGCTACGTGCCTACGCACAAACTCTGCGTAGGCACGTGGCACACTTCTGAGGGCAGTCAGTTCACTGTCCGGGTATGATGACTGAAGAACCTCTTAACAAGTCGCCGGCAAAGACACCAGTGCGGCTCAGTAAAACAACGCATCATTCGAGACTGGGTTAAAGAAAGCACTGCAAAGGCTGGAGCACGCGAGCGTCTTGAGGCGCGGTTTGACTCTCTCTCAGCTCGTGCGCTGACTTTGGCCGTGCTTTCTTTCACCCCGTCTGAGCTGAGAAGCTGTTTCTAGCAATCCTGCCAGGTCTCGCCTAAACCACAACCGATCAAACACGTTCTCGCGGACGTGCTGCTCAAATCGCTTGGTCGCACCAGTGTGTCCATTCTTCGCGCAGTAACTTTCTCTTCTACGTGACGCGTCAAGTTCAAGCACACCATGAACTTGACGTCGTATGCCTTCCATCCTAACACCAAAGGTGAGGCTGCGCCTACACATGAACTACGTTCTCTCTTACGGTAGCGTTTACAACTTCGAGCAGGCGCCGCTTGTTCCGGCCTATGCTTCGGCCGCCCCATTCTTGCGTGCAAAAGCTTAGAGTTGAGCGCGACCTAAACCAACGCGTTTTTGTGGGCGCGTAGGCCATGTGATTCCCGGAAATTGCGTATTTCGTGACGTCGCGCCGATTCCTTGCGCCTTCCAGGCGCGCATAAGAAAGTTCGATGACTAACTTTTTTTCTGAACGCGTACGAAATCGCGCTGTGACGTAGTAGGGTGCTCCTCTCCCGGCCAATCCGTGGAGGGCACTAGTTCTGGCTACACGTTTTTCCGCCCTCTGGCGCAGATGCCCTCCGCTCGCCGGAAGCCGCATCGTCCTAACAAAAGCGCATGGTTGTGACTCAGAGAACGGCCCGGAAACAGCAAAAACGTCACGAACTACGCAATTTCCGGGAAGCGCATGGTCTACGCGCGCACAAAAACGCGTTGGTTTCGATCGCGCTTTAGAGTACCGAAGGAACGGGCGGCCGAAGGAGAGAGAACGCATTTGGCGAGGAGGGCGATCACATCACCCCCAGCGCAATCGCGATTGACCAAACTCGAGCGCCTCAGCCGCGACTATTATGAGCGAAAAAACAAAGGCATCAATGCTCTTATCGCTCTCACCCGCTTCAAAGCCACTGCGATAAACGCGCCTATGCACCGTTCGTTTTCGCAAGCACGACACTCACCCAATACAAACCAGTTACAGCTGCCGCGTGTTCGTCAAGAGTTGCACTATGCCGCCAGATGCGAAAGGAGTGCAACCTACGCTTACCACCCCCTGTTTGACACCGAAAGGCCGGTTCACACAAGCTGCGCAGCGACGGTACTATCAGCGCTGACTCACAGCTAAGATAGCGTTGCATTGGGTGTAAGGAGCCGGGAAGGCCGGGGTCACATGCAGCAGAGCCTTGATACAGAACACAAAGCCATCGCAGTGCCCCGTGAACAGACCTTAACGCGAAAAATGCCCTTACCATCTTGATTTCTATTAAACGAAGCATGAACATCACTTACGTATTTTTTGTCCACGGGAACGCGTCTTCGCCGCCACGTTGCCCACGTCGCCACACACGCGATAGCAGCGACAGCGATCCAGAGCGTCGTCTCATGCCCTGCCAAGGTGTACCGGGTCCTCCGGTAGTCCATGGCGCCAAGCATTTCCGTGTTGTTAAGAACGGCGCTACCGCTGCACACACGCACAAAGAGAGCAAATGATGATTAAGCATGCGAGTGAAAGAAATCGGTGGTCATCGATCCCATCGAAACGATGCTCAAAGAAGAAATGCTTGCAATCATTGTAACTGCTGTACACGGCAAAGCTCTTCGACACGCCTGCGGATCAACGTTAGGTGCGGTTCAAACATACACACACAGGGCTTCCTCAACGCTATTACCAGTCAAGGCTGGAAATATCGCTTACTCGACTGATGCAGTTCGGACTTGGTGCTATATTAGTGATACAGCGCTGCGTCAGTGGTATGCTTCGTTCAAGTGAGCGCTACATTAGCGATTCTTTTTTTTTAGTTCCTTTTTTTTGTGCCCCTAACAACCTTGCGGCTTTCATGTGGTAGCACAAGATAAAATGTTTAAGACATACAATTTATATATTTTCACAGACAATAGAAATGAAAAAGGTCGGACTCATCACGGGCTAGTCATGAGTAGATCACACAAAGCTAGTTCACTCTAGAAAAATGTCACGTTTCTTTTTTCTATTAAAGACAAAATACAGTTCATGAACTTTTTTCGAACTTAAAATGCAAAAAAAAGAGAAGAGATCGGTCTATATTTTTAGAAGTGGCTTAGGAATGGAGTTTCCAAGCTAGTTTACGCTTGAGAGCTCATCAAAAATGTTCAAGAATGGAGGCTTTAAATTGTTAAATGAGAGTTGACTATTTTCCCATCGCAGAGCGGGAGGAACAGTGGCTCACGCTCATTAGGGCGTGGAAGAAGCTTCTGCCGCTGTGCCAACATATATCGCCTTGCTTCAAACAGGCCGAAGCGCCATGGGAATCGACCTTATACACAGATAACCTTCGTATCAGATAAATTACGTGCGGTCATGCATTGCACCCTTCGTTCCGTACCCAGTCGGCGAATAATAGGAAGGATCTTTCGGCTAGCCATTTTGGTCGATGCTCGGCTTCTTTGCTTCTCCGCCTGCGTAATTTTGAACGTCTTGGATGAAGCTTTATGGGTAACAGCCTCTATGCGCTCCATCTTATACGTACAATGTACTTCGTGTCTCCCTGATTTCGCAATCTCTGACGCGCTGCGACGCGGTCTTGTGTAGTTTCGCGATAGTTTAACTCGTTAATTTTTTCTTGTTACTTTTACCTGCAACTCGATAAATATTTTTAAAGTAACTGTAACGGTACCTGGCATACTTTTCATTAACTAAAAAGTTTATTAAAAGACAAAGATATTTTTCGTAAAAAGTTACCCTATTTTGTGACCACTACAGCGGATTCGAACGTGTTGCCGAGGTTGGGCCCTACATTAGAGGGAAGAAAAAAGAAAAAAAAAAACACCAAGAACTCAGCTTTTTTTTTTTTTTCCCCGGAGTGAAAAGCCAGAGCAGGGGGTAGACGTTTTCCAATATCTGTTTTTACTTTTTCATCGCATAGAAAAGCGCATTTAGCATTTGCTTTATTTCAACCTTTCTGTGTGTGGCTCTCTCTCGCTCCGTCTTCACCCTTTCCGACCTCGTCGGTCACCCCCGGCCAGGGTGGCCAGTTCAGTTTATAATAAGCGGATTTGGGCTTCTTTTTTACCGAGTCACTGGTAGCTTTTTCCAGTCACTTGTCGCACTTTTTGGGCTTATTCGTGTTTTTCCCGCAAATAATTATTTTATTGCTCGCCATGCTCATTGACAGCGCGTTTGTCGTCAAAAACGCGGAAAACAGTACGACCGTTTGGCGCCGCGTTTAGGTTGCGCAAGCGACCGTCCGTCACAAAGTGCAAAACAATTACTATCCATTCACAAATGTTTTAGCGCCTTGCCCTTTTTGCCAGTGGGCAGTCGCGGTCGTCGTGTCTAGTTGCCATTGTATTTTGCGCAAAATGGCTTCGAAGTGGTCGAAGTATGGCAGAAGATATTGTAAAGTGTGGGAAAAGGAAACACAGCTTAAGGACTGGCTGCGACCAGTCACTGGAGGCGATAAAAAACCAGTGTGCAACTGCGAGATCCGCGCTTATCATGCCGACCTCGTTCAGCATATGGCAACAGAAAAAACACGTGAGGAACTCTCACCACTTTCCAGTGCATGCTTGACTACCATGGGCTTCACCAAGTCGTCGCCTCCGAGAACAATACCAGAACTGGAGCTCAAGCTGGCATGTTACTCAGCGTGCCATGCCACTATCCGGCGGATAGGGGCATGGCACGCTGACTTCGTATTTGAGCGGGTTCGCCTTCGTATTTGAGCCAGTTCTCATTGTCATTTTATTATTAATAAACTATTTTCAAGAATGTGTACATCTATAGAACTTCCTCTTGTTTTGGGCCTCTTCACGAAGGTCTCGCCGCTTTTTTTGGGCTTGGTTGGGGACGACTATTTGCTCATTCGCTCTGCCGCATCTGGCCACCCTGCCCCCGGCTCTTCAGCCAAGCGAAAGAACCAGCTCGCGGAAACACGCGACGCGTAGACACCTGTTTAACGCCGAACGAGAGTCTCTGGTTCGCAAGAAAAAAAAATAAAATAGTTGGATGGTAATCAACCGTTATAGCTCAAACGAGAGGTTCTCATGAGTGACGAACGAAAGATGGTCCCGTGGCCCTGCTATGAACTGCACTTTGACCTTGTCGAATATGGTGGCGATAACTTCACTGCTCGTTGCAAACACTGCAAAAAAGTATACGCAGCCCGGAAGTCCTCTTCCTCTAACGTTCGCAAGCACCTCGGGGTGAATTTCAACTTTCATTTCTAGACACTACCACTAGGCATGGAGACGGAACGATCGAAAGCTAAAACCCCGACAGCGCTCTCCAGCCTCAACGGCTTTCCCACCACCGGGAAAGTTTCCTTACGTCTGAATACTGCACTGCCGTCCAGCGCACGCGTACACCGCATCTTTAGCGAGGGGCGGGATCTGTTCAGCATCGAAATTGGAAAGTTATGTGATATTTGAAATGCATTCGCTGCTGCGTTACAAGATGAACAGAAAAATGTATTATTTAGTCCATCTTGTATCGAAGCTGCAAACGTTTTGATTCAGTAAAGTCGTACGACGGTAATAATATATAGCTCAAAAAGTGAAATAAGAGTTTTGTGAGAGTTCCAAAGAAAATATGAATTGTATTCATTGTGTTTGTCATCAATGTCTTCATCACAAAAGTAAAAAAAACAACTAAAGTATCTTGAAAGCAACTAAGTTACTATGACGAAATAACTGTAACTGTAACGCATTACTTTTATTTCTAAGTAACTGTAACTGTAACTCAAATACAATTTGACGAACTATTTTTAACTGTAACTAATTACTTTATAACGGGTAACTTGCCCAAGGCTGCTGCGACGGAAAACGAAATTTTAAGCGCGCAATTGAATGCTGCCTTTATTTTTTGTTTTCGCGTCGTGCTAACTGCTTCACACTGCACTGTAGCTCATCAGTAGCCGTCTCAATAAAATTCGTGTTCTGAAAATTGCATGTAAAAAGAGGTAGGGATATACTTTTAAACTATGGACGTCCCGTACAGTTGTTGCATGAACTCTAGTGCTAAGAAACTCAAAAATACTCTTTGTCGTTCAAACAAGTTTCTTTTTTTTTTAATGTCCAATTAATAATTTGTGTACCCAGCAAAAGTCAATATTGCTGAGCGATGGTAAAAATACAAGAGATATTTCGGCAGCACGCCACTTTATATGGAGCCAAATCACACATTCGCATGCCGTCCGTCGGTGTTCGTGACAAACGCGGCAGAACGCACATGAGAAGTCGGAAACCACCAAGATGCGGATAGCGAAGAACATCACTTAGAATACGATGTCATACGCAGTGAGTAGGCGAGCCGAGTTGAATGCCGGAGAAAATGCCGATGTGGCATTCCTGACGCAGCTCAAAATATCTAGGTATGCTTATCTCCCGTTACATGTATTAAGGATTTCCTCGCTTTCAAGAAGATATTTGAGGACGCACACGACGTCACACATTACTGGGAAAAATATAACGCTAAACAATACAGGTTATTCAAGTCGCCCCAGAAAATTGCATCAGTAAAAAAGGACGCACCCTCTAATTGCTACCGCAATCTTCGTGGAAAAAAAAAAAGAATGGGCGTATTAGTTGTAAACAGAGAAACATCACTTACGAAAGTAGGCAAAAACCTTCAGAATCGGATGTAGCATCGAAAACAGCGGCGGTGCGTTGATTCACCGAATAAACTATTAGCTCCAGGTTTCCCCGCACTGCACTGCTCAAAACGAGCGAGCAAGAGCTAGAGCGAGACCACGCCACTCCAACCATATACTCTCGCAAAACGGAGAAAAAAAAATGAATGAAAAAAAAAACCTCTCTTGGTGTCCGTAGATGTCACCCTCCAAAGGTGATCTGCGTGCGTTATCTGCATGGTTCACTCGTGCTGCTTTCTGGAAGTCTGATTGGCCGCTCATGGCAAGACCGGGGTTCTTTTGCATTCCGGGGTTGTTTTGTATTCTGAAAGTGCATCGCAACGACGCTGAGGCGCCAGTCGTCGACTGGGGTCTATCAGCCAGAAAATAAAGAATAGTTTGCCATGACCCGCGTAGATCAAAAGATCCGTGTACTGAATTAATGAATGGCCCCAAAAGAAAACTGAAGTAGACGCAAATGGGGAAATTCCTCGGTCGGAGAACAGTTAACCAGCACGAACGAGTCACTGTTGTAACAATATGAGGAACACCGTTAAAGGTTTCATATTATTACTTTTATTCGCATCGATCCTCAAAGCAATTTATTCGATTTATTAATTTCCCACAATACTGATATACCTAGAGAAATTAAGTTTCACTGAATTACGTACAATCACGTATAGTTTTGATATAGTGAATTGAAATTCGGTTCTGTTCATTCTTGTGTGTTTTAACTATATGCTTTCGGTTAAGTTGTTCATGTAAAAATGCCTCCTCGTGTTGTATGTGTTTGTATTGGTTTATGTAAATACACAC